TTCGTAACAAAGTTGAACGATTCGTAAATTTTATTCAGGCGTAAGTCTTTCCATGATTAAATTACAAACAATACTAAACAGCCTGACACGACTCCCGCGTGCTCTGGCAAAAAAAAAGAATATATATGTACAAAAAGTACCTCTCTTCAATCACCCGTTAGATGACGTACCTGCTCGATTCGAACGTTTTCACGGTTCCTGTGATTTTTGCCCGTTGACGTTGCAATGCAAAGTGGCTGTCGCTGGTTGGATGAAATGCTTGTAGCTGCTGAGTGGGTATGTTAAGTAGACTTGTCTCTAATTAAACGGCAAATAACAGTACTAAAAACAATAACAACAACGGGTAGGGAGCCTGTGTTGATTGTAGTTGTTGTTGTTGTTATTCTTACCCCAAAAATTTGATAGGTGTAGGTGAGTGTGGATGGAAAGCCACTGTGCTTGCCCAAAATGACAGCTTTGATGGAGTTTGTGTTGAAGTGAGCGCCAAACAGTTATGGTCACTAACCGTTAGTGTATACGTCTGCTGAATTACAGGCTGTGGCCGGCGTTGACCTTTTTCTGTGACCGGTTTGAGGAGTTTCACTATTTTTTTTTGTGATTTGGTTTTGAGCGAACTATAAGGGTATGTAGGCGAGCTGTTAATATGGTTTTTAATTAGAGACAAACCGAACTAAGGTTTGAGCCGCTAAAATTTACATGTGTCTCGCTTCAAAGCTACTAATGTTCGTTTTGATTATCCATAAAAAGAGTGATCCACGAGAGGAAACTTATTGTCTGTCATTCATCAACTCATTGGTGATTCTTTTGAGTATCCTCTTTTTGAAGGTTACCCCTCTGTGGTTGAGCGTGAGGTTTGGAACGTATCATAAATAAACTGCTCCAAACTTGTCCCAACTGCTGGAAAGTGAAAAAAGGTCCCGATTTGAAAAATCCTGTAAATGTTTTATATATAACTGCAAATGCAGGTTACAAACTTGAAGCGTCCGTTCTAGGCAGGTGATAGAGAAGAACGGGGTATTCAAAGGTATTTTTTAAGATCGTTTGAAATGTACCTATGAGCGCTACCACCAGCAAAATGTCGAAATTGAGCTTGGCGACTTTATGGTCAGGATTAGCGAAGAAGATATCTGCGGCGTAACATTCGTAAAATTAGCCACCTTAACGAAAAAATTCCGCACGGGCTGTAGCTGATCGACCCCCCGATATAATATTGTATATACCACCAGACAGTTATTTTGGCCGTGTTGTTATAGACAGAAGAAATGTCTCTAGTGTTCTTAATATGCGTATATTTCCAGGAGATGTTTTTGACTTGAAAAACACAAGGAAGGTTCATCGTCAATGTGATGGTTGTTGTGATTGCCAAAAGTTTTTTAGTCTACTTGCACTTCTTGTCTCTGATAGCACTCATCAGCAACTTTGTGCACGGAAGTGTGGAATGGCATTTTAAGCAAAAGACGTTTCGGGGTCAGATAAACAACAGCAATACCAGCCAGAATAGCGAGTACGATGAGGAAAATCGAACTGCCGAAAAGAAGAAACTTACTACTTACCTAGAATCGATGTGATTTGTAGGGCAGACGAACTCGAGTGGTATAAAAACCAAGAGCTGAAAAAGAATAGCAAAACAAAGATGAAAAAAATGAATGATCGAAATGGAAATGGGAATCTGGCAAGCTGGAGAAGCTCATCGAAAGGCCGATTTACAGAGTTTTTAAAGATCGGAGCATACTCTTATAGGAAAAAAAGAGGTGATCTATCGACGGATGCCCCCCAGTCTCTACTCCATTACAATAGAAAAGGCATTCCATTACTTCCTCTAAGGCGAGTAGCAGCTGCCCGCCTACGAGATAACACTGATATGGGCGCTGATGCCTCACCGGATGAGCTCTTCAAATATGGCTGCGAAGATTTTTCCTACAGCATGCATCAACTTCCCCATATTAAATGGTTCGATGAATATCTGATATAAGTATGCTTTGTCTAGTCCATAAAAATGAAACCCCACAATCCGCACCAATTATCGTAGGATAAATCCCATCAGTTTCGCATAAAATATCCTATCTAGTATATTATTGGAGAATCTCCTATCCACGATAATAAAAGTAAACATTTGGCATGTAACAGTTTTCTATAGTACTAAATGGAGCTGTCCTGAGTGAAGATCCCCACACGCTGGCTTACGCTGGATAATGGCATACACTTCGACATGATCGGGCAGAACCTCACTGAGTCTTTCGGTACTAAAGCAAGCTTGAGAGAGGGTGACTCTTTGGCATGTGATTTTTTCAATTTGATGCTGGAGAAAATATAGGGATTTGGGCAAAATACAAGGGGGTAAACAAAAGTTCGGAAGTTGACCAGAAGAAAAATTATTTTCCATCTATAAGTAATCTTTGCCCTTTTTTATCTTCTCTACATAATCGCCATTGATTATATGATGATTATGATATGATGATAGCCTAAAGATCTACTCTTGGAAACATTCTTCAAAATCATTGCCTTTTGAGCTTAACAACTTCAGCATTGACCGCATTAATTAACACCCTTTTTAATTAAATACTTTTAATTTTAATTTTTTTTTTTTTGGACATAACCAGAATCCACAAGGTGCTATATCCGGGAAACATGGCACTGGACGTATTTCTTCGATCCCAGAAGTTGCAATAAAATTTCTCGTCATTTCAGCAGTGTCGCAAATCTTCTTTCTTCATTTTTTCCGAGGCATTTTTGAAAACTTTTGGAAAGCACTCTTCGGTATATCATTTTGCTGTTAACGTCTGACCCTTTTACAGTGGAACAGCAGCTACGATCTGAGATCCGGCGAAGTAAAGTGACATCTTTACATTTGCTGCTAATTTTTTGCTTAGATTTTACGGGTTGGTTTGCTTCTGTTGGGCTCCATGCCATGGTCTGCCCTATAGTTTCTGGGTATTTATTATTGTACTTATGGAACCAAAATTCATCACCAGTAACGACTTTACTAAAGTTGCTAGGCTGACCATTTCCGAAGTTGTTTAGGAAAAATTGAGCAAAATGCCCTCGAGCCCCTCTTTGGGTCTCAATTAAAATTCGTGGTACCCATCGGGCAGAGTGTCTATTGTATCTCAGCTAATATAATAAAAAGTATTCATGAAACAGCCGTGACATTTAAGCCTAATTTATAAGCAATCATATCTTGTGTCAATCGTGGGTATTCATGAATTTTGGACTTCATCAGAGCTACAGTGACGTCATCAGTGAAGGATTTTAGTCGAACTTCTCGGGGCTCATCTTCTACGGAAATATCTTCGGTCTAGAATCTTTGAAACCATTTAGAAATAGTTTTTAGAGACGGTGCAATCGTCCCATATGGAATTTGGCATCCACTGAATATTTGTATTGACTGTAAATTACGCCGAAACCCGAAGAGAATCACATGAGGCATTGCTGTCTGCGTTGGTGGTGGAATTTTGTCTAAGCTATCCTCGGCTATCTTGTGTTTTCTCTGCTCCATTATAGCCGATCGTTTTCAATTTTGAAAAAAAAGACTAATAAGGTAACTGCTCAGGACTTGGTTTTTCTTTATTCAACAAATTAAAAACCACCAACCGACCGAACTTTTGTTAAGCCTCTCGTAGGCAGCAAGCGAGATCAGGCGTAGGTATTCGTGTTCAAAATTAAAAAGTTAAACATATTTTTCAACACAATTATTAAGACAAAAGAAGAAAGTATTAGCAGACAAAATTCCAATTAAAGGACACATTTTTTCATTTTACTTTACTCGTATTTTAAAATAAATATGCAACAACAATAAAACGGAATAACGTACTTCTCTCCAAAAAAAAGAAACAATACAAAAAAATACAAGTAAAAAAATGGTCAAAAGAAATTTCAAAGCTTCAGTTATACTTATGCGCATACTTACATACTTGTACATACAAACAGCTTTGTGCTAATTAATACAAATGGTTTGTTGCACAACAATCGGCACTTTTGGCAACTAAATGTGCGCGCACACAGATAAACAGAAAAAAAATACGTAAGTAGAAAACAAAGTGTTGAGTAAAAGAATTGCAAAAGTTTTCCCATTACAAACTTTTACTTTGCTGCGCATGCACACATATACACAAATAAATACATACGTATGTATATAGAAATTCTACGAATATGTGCTTTATTCGCGTTTTTTTTCTGCAATCCTTCGTGCAACATTTTTCTGCCTCAATTTCGCTTTGGCAACACAAACAGTGCAAATAATGCTTTAAAAGCCAATTTTTATTTTTTAGTTTTCCAAACAAACCGTTATTTTGCTACTACTTAAAATGTTTGTAAAAATTTAAAGTTTTTCCTTCGCCACGAATCTCAGTCTGGCTCTTCATTCTCCTTCCCAATGTGTTTGCCATTAAATAGTTGCTCATGAAGAACTTTGCCCATTTTACATTTAGTTCGTGGTCACTTTGCTTAGTTATTTACCAACTTTGGTGGTGGTTGTTGTTGTTGTTTTTGTTTTTGTTGTTGTAGTTATATGCAAAGCTGCAGCAATAGCCAATCTCCGTACGACATCTTCTAGGGCATAAGGAATGTTGTTGTTTATACTTAAATATATTTACTTTTGCTTTGCTTTGGTTTGTGGCTAATTTGTTATTGTTTATGTTGTTATTATTGAAAATTATGTCGAAAGTTTACTTAATTTACAGTAAATTTTGTGAACCTCTAGCAGTAAGCAAGTAAGTAATAAGTAAGTTTTTTTCTGCTGAATTGATGAGTAATTTCACAAAAAGGTGTGTCAGGGCGTATGAGTAACCACTGATTCTGCTTTGCTTTCAATATCTTTTTTATTTAATTTTTTTTCTACGAACCAAAAGTGTGTTTCACCAGCCACTGAATTGAGTAAAAATAAATATATACAGTTCCTATAAGGCGCTCCGATTTTTGCTGGCACATGCTCGTCAATTACCGGGGTTGTACCCAAAATACAATTAGAGGTACAACATTTTTAATTACTTTCTTTTACACAGGTCCGTTACTATTCCAGTACCTGCAGAATCTGCAAATGAGGTCTTTGTCGCTTGTCAGACAGCAGAAGCTTACCATCTTTAAATATCTATTCGAAGGGCAGGTAAATTTTCTTGGCTCTTTTCGATTTTGCTTCTTAGTTGTCTCGTTGTTAGATATTTTTAAGTTCATGTATACATAAAAATGTTTTCTTCAAAATTATTATCATGTCCCTTCTTTCATAAGGATGCTTTAAGATATGATTTCGTTAGGGGCCTTAGCCGAATATGTAAGATTGGCTATGTCTAAGCTCCCTCTCTCATCCTTGATCCCATGTTCCACATGGGTTGGTTGCCTGATCTTGAATAAGGGCTAAAGTAGCAGCTCGGCAGAGTCCTGTGACTATAGTAGCATACTCAATAAGAAGCTTACATGATTCCAATAGAGCGTATAAAATGTTACTACGTAGGTTTGGGGTCTGGGTCGGTAGGCTAGGATGGTTTCCAGGCATTTTAGTGCCAATAAGAATTAGAGTTATGGATTTGGAATTTATCTAGTCTAGCCAATTCCACAATGAACATGCTGAGATCGTGGACTTTTACGAATCAGTCAAGACAAATTTGTAGATTAACGCACATCGTTAGGATTAAGGAGTGCTCCAAAATTGTCTGAAGTCAGTTTGGCGCCCATGATTTCATATACAAAAAACGCAGGGGGTTAGAATGATTCCCCTGACCGGCCTGGCCCCTTCCTAATATTCCTTCCTTAGCTTGCTTTAATTATTGTTTAATAATTATCAAATTTTTTTCGAATATTTTTTAATTCAGCCTGCTTAAACCTAGGTTTGGTTTGTTTTAGTGAGGTTTGGGGAAAACCCCTCCCATCCGGCGATTTAATTCGAGTTTATTGAGATCTACCCTCAGCATCTAAAAAAAATACTCTTAAAAATCCATAAACGGTTTGAAGGCTGCATCAGTATTCTTGAAGGCAGCCACCTGCTTATAGATAAAATACCATCATTGACTTATTTAAGGGATTTCCTTATGAATACTATTCGACGCGAGTTTTCTTCGGTCTACTAAGCTAAAATTTAGGGTGAGATAATGTGTGCCTTTCATAATAAAGTCATTTTCTTCACATTGGCAATCATCCAGAAACCATCTTTTACAAGTTAAGCCATTAAGTCCTAAACAACCGAGATCCGAGGGCATAGGAGTTGGTGTTTACCACTAATTCCAAATAATAGTTAGCATTTTGTGCTTAAGAAGACGTCCTTAAGAAACTTCTTCACAATAATGTGGGTCAGTCAACCGTGAAAGGAACTAATTAATTCAGACTATTCGCAGGAAGTATTTCTTGAAACTCCCAAGCATAATATATCTCCAAACTGGAAGTGGCCCTGCGGTGAACGCAATAAGCGAGCGATTAGCAGGGAATTCTACCCTGTGGAAGATCCTGGATTTATATCTATTTCTTCATATCTGCCCTTTGGCCGAGAATGTGAGGTCTTCCGAGTGTATTTCCGTCGCTTTAAATATTAGATAGCGCAAACTGCATATGCATATGGCCTAGTACTATCTATCTTTATATCTATCTACATCTTTATCTCTTCTCTCTCCTCTCTCTGCCACTTTTCCATCATTTCTCTGCCCTTTCTCTCTCCTCTCTCCCTTCTCTCCCTTCTCTCTCTCCTCTCTCTTCTCTCTCTCCTCTCTCTTCTCTCTCTCCTCTCTCTTCTCTCTCTCCTCTCTCTTCTATCTCTCCTCTCTCTCCTTTTTTACCCCTCTCTCTCCTCTCACTCTTCCCTCTCTCTCTCTCCTCTCTCTCTCTTTAATCTCTCTCTCCTATTTCTCCCCCCTCTCTCTGCCACTCCTGTCTCTCTCCTCTCTCTCTCTCCTCTCTCCCTCCTCTCTCTCCCCCACTCTCTACCTCCTCCTTCTCTCTCTTCTCTCTCTCTCTCTCTCTTCCCACCCTCCCTCTCTCTGCTCTTTCCGTCATCTCCCCCTATTTCTCTCTCAGGCCGCTTCTAGTGTGTTTTGACAAAAGTCTACGACCGGCATATAAAATGTTTCTACAACGCAAAACATGCCTCCGAGCTAAAAACTAGTACAGCTAAATGAAAATCTTTTCCTTTCAGATCTTAATTGCATAAGACTTCTAAAATGTCCAATAAAAAAATAACAAAAGAAAGACATTTCAGCCACCATAATATAAGTAAGAACTCACCACCTTTGAGAAAATGTGTTCGAAATTCCCCGTGAAGAGTACGTCTTTACAGGAGATTCAATCTTGACTGTGATTACCCTGCGTACAACTTGCATCAAGGTCTCTCTCAGCTACTCCTCATTATTTTGCGGCATTTAAGCTTAGGTTAGCCAGAGCCAGAGCGGGCTCTTCTCTTGGGGTAATGTCATTAAAAAGAGAAACATAACCTTTTTGTTTGCTAGTGAGGAAGGAGCCATAACGGAATAATAAGGGGCTTGGTACACATTCATAAGATTACATGGTTACCTGCTTAACACCTGGCTTGAAGGCACCAGCTCCTCAAAAAACAATAGATTTTTAAAAGCCAAGCGGTTCATCCCAAATTCTTCTTTAGTAAGTCTAAATACTAATTTCAGTCCTGTGCATCTATTAAGAAATGAATTTCAAATCTAAAATGTGTACTATTGTAAAATAATTTTTGTTAGACAAGAAATTATTCAAGCCAAAACTAAAATCTTCTTCAAATTTCTCTTCCACAAAAAAGTATTCATATCGGATTTTTTCCTCCCGCCAACTACTTTAAATATTCCCACATTTATTGAATGCGCATCGGCACCTTTAAATAATTCAAATAAAAGCACAACGAACAACCTCAAATACTTCGCATTATCCCAACTAAACCACAGACTAAAATTATAGACTCAACTTGCCTGAGCCGCTTAAGCGATGCTTAACCACTCACTGCCGGCTTGTTTGTGAAAATTTACAAACACACACAAACAAACATACATTCCACACACCGCCTAGTCGCAGCGAAGATGTTTTCATAGCAGACACCTTTAAATAAATTTTCTTTTGCGCCTCTTCACCACTTCACGTCTTCACTTGTACTTTCGCCACGCCAAACAATTTCTTTGTGGCACAAACAACAAAACCGCCAAACCAACAGCTTACTTACTGCCTACCTAACGGAGGACTATCTTCGTGCCTACTCAACTCTTCTTCTACGCCTGTATTACGCTCTAGTTACTACATACTTTGTTCAGCTGGGCTTGCACTGCAAGCAAATGCCGGATCCAGCAGTGTGTTTGTATATTTGTTTGTTGTTGTTGCACCGGCAACTTCAACTTCGTCGTTTGCATAATGCGCGCAGGTGCTTGCCTCGGTACTTGCTACTTGCGGTTATTTGTGTCTGTTTTTACAGGTGTTTGTGTGCAGTTTTTTCTTCTTCTTCCTCCACCTCCTCTTCTTCTTGGCATAAAGCCAAAGTCAAATGCAACGGTGCACGCGAAGCAATAAGAATGTGGGTGAAAAGAACGCAGCGAAGAAAATTCCAAAAGATTACACTTGTGAAAGGAGCATCTTCCTGGTAGATTGTTGTTGTTATTTTCATTGTTGTTATGCATATTATTATTATTATTGCTTGCTTTGTTGTTGCTCTGGTGATTTTCAAGCCGAAAGTAGTCAAGTCAACACTTTTGGCCGCTTGTCTGCTTTGCTTAACCCCGAATTTTCCACTCACCACTAACTAACGGTTAACAGCTAACGGCTAGTAGGCGCCGAACTCTTTCTTATTATTGTTGGCGATGATTTTGACTTGAAATTTTTGTACAACTACTCTTTTTTCAGGCCTTTTATCATTTTTTAGCTATTAATTCCGAAGCTTCTGCCAAGTAGTTTTGGGCAAAAGGTAAATAGAATTTAAGGTAGTCGAATGATTTTAGCTCTACAAGAGCTTCTTTAAGTCATCAAGGGCTGCATTTAACTTATGCGTGAATATTTCACGGTTTTAGGCATGAGAAAAGGCATTCATATGGAACATTTTTTTCAGTGCCACCATACTGATCATACAACGACTCATGCTATAGGTTACTCTAACAAAAAAATTATCTTATATTTTCAGGATCCGATTATTTGTGCGCTAAGGTAGGCTTACTATCATCTGGCTAGACAACAGTCAAACTGTTGGAGTTAAAAAGGGCTTTGGATTTATGAAAATCTTAAAATCAAAAGGGTTCTTTCCTTATACCCTCTATAGCATCGAGCCACGTAGGGGAGCTCAGTTCTCTACCCTCGGTTCTCAGCTATTCAATTTTGATCTGAAAACCGGGTTCATGTCAAACCTATCAGCGTTGGCACGTAAAGCCTGTTATTAAAAAAGATTAAACCCTTTTCTACGACTTATTCAAACAGTGGTAGCAAGCGATTGGTATAATGGCTAAGAAACGAATTCATTTATTTGGAAATGTTCAATAGCATAAAAAAGCTATGGGAAAATTGTGCTATAAGGTTTTCGTTTATCACCTCTGAGACTGTGAAGTTTATCTTCGATCCGTATGGGTGCCCTACGATCCTTAACCATCACTTCTAAATAGTAGTGTCTGTCTCTCGCGAGTTTCAGTCCACCTTCTCCTCAAAATTTGTATATTTGGTGAAAATAAATGTGGGAGCCTACAATCTATTCCAAGCCGCCTCCGAATGGTCAATGGATTTTTATGAGGAACCTTCATTCATATCAGAAATTCAATCGGAGTGACCGTAATTAGATAAATTTATTTTTTATATTTTTGAATAATAGTTGAACCAAGCCTCGAACCCTGGTTGTTCGAATGATATTACGCTAACTACATGACTGTCCGCCAGTCATAACATAACATAATTTTCGAATCGAAGACTTTATTGCTCATTAACTGGCCATTCGACTTCCCGTCGGAAGAGGCGGAACAGAATTTGTGTGGAAATAAAAAATGGAATGTTCTTGCGGACCTCGCACATCAAACATAACTTCTTTCGCTGTCTTTATAAAGGGTGAACCATCTTCCATTTGCTTTTTGAACCAGTGTTTATTTGAACTTAGACAACTTGTTATGGTAAGTCTTCAACCTTTGCATAAAGACGTC